GTGCCTTCAGTTTATGATCTGCCCAACGCGCACGGACGGCACGCACCCCGACTGCTCCAAGGGCGCTGACGTCATCAACAACTCGTGGGGCGGCAAGAAGTACCACCCGGTGTACGAAGAAGCGATCGCGTCGATCCGCAAGGCCGGTATCACGCCCATCTTCGCCAACGGCAACGAAGGTCCGGCTTGTGGGACGACGGGGAGCCCGGGAACGTACCCTAACGTCATTTCGGTTGGCGCCATCGGCTCGTACACGAACGAGCCCAACAAGCTCGCGTTCTTCTCGTCCAAGGGCCCAGGCAAGTACGTTGACGCGCACAACGTGCGGCAGACGATCGTCAAGCCGACAATTTCGGCCCCCGGCTTCTTTACGCTCTCGGCCTACAACAACAGCGACACGGAGCTCACGTATCTCGCCGGTACCTCGATGGCGGCGCCGCACGTGGCTGGTGTCGTCGCGCTCCTCAAGTCGATCAAGCGCGACCTGACGTACGACGAAATCTACGCCTACTTGACGCAGACGGCTGACCGGGCGCTCGAGGGCGAGCCCAAGGAGTGGCTCGTCCCCAACAAGACGTCCAACAGTACGAATGTCTACCCTGGCGCCTTCAACTGCGGCGGTGTCGACGACACCAAGTGGCCTAACAACCGGTACGGCTACGGCCGCGTCAACGTTGCCAAGATCCTTGCTGGTGGCAAGTTTGCGTCGGTCGTGACCCCGACGCCGGTGCCCCGGACGACGCCGCCAGCGCCGGTTGAAACGAACTTCTGCACGTACAAGAAGACGGCGCTCTCGGAGTGGAACCAAGGCTTGTACATCGACACGATCAAGAACAACAAGAACGAAGGCTTCACGATTGACCGCGTCAACAACATTATTGCGGCGTACGCTCCCCCGAAGAAGGACTCGTACTGCCTCGCTCTCACCAAGGATGCCACCAACACCAACACGGCGACGCTCACCAAGTGCAAGGGCGACGAGACGCAGATCTGGAAATTTGATTCGGCCGCCAAGCGCATCGTCCACCCGGCGTCTGGCTTTTGCTTGACATCGAACGCCGCCAAGCTCGGTGCCGGCCCCAGCGTCGCCCCGTGCTCGCCCGGTGCCGTGAGCCAGTACTTTGACGCGTGCGACAACGTCAAGGAGAAGAGCTACGTCAAGCTCATCACCAAGACCAACAAGGTCATCTCCGAGTTCTACTCGGGCGTCTACGCCGACTGGGTCTCGGACTCGGTCAACGAGCTCTTCACCTACGACTCGGCGGCCAAGACGCTCCAGGCGGCTAGCAACGGTCAATGCCTCGACGCGTACCGTGACGGCAACAAGTTTGGACT